CCTTCCTTCCTTCCTTCCTTCCTTCCTTCCTTCCTTCCTTCCTTCCTTCCTTCCTTCCTTCCTTCCTTCCTTCCTTCCTTCCTTCTTCCTTCCTTCCTTCCTTGACAGGGTTTCACTCTGATGTTACCCAGGCTGGAGTGCAGTGGCATGATCTTGGCTCACTGCAACCTCTGCCTTCCAGGTTCAGTGGATCCTCCTGCCTCAGCCTCCTGAGTAGCTAGGACTACAGGCACGTGCCACCGTGCCTGGCTAATTTTTCTGTTTTTAATGGAGATGAGGTTTTGCCATGTTGCTCAGGCTGGTCTCGAACTCCTGGGCTCAAGCAATTGTCCAGCCTTGGCCTCCCAGCTGGGATTACAGACGTGAGTCATCATGCCGGCCTTTTGTCTTTCTAAAGATGGCAAACCCTTTGTTCTGGGAATAAGGTAATAAAACCCTATTACAAATCCCTGTGCCAGGCCACAATGTGGTTAGACCACAGGTGGAAACGTGGTGTTGGGTTTTTAGGGCACAATGTGTGATTGTTTTTCTTACCACAACAGGAAAAGGTTATGAGGTATGTGCCACTCTTGGTTCCTAACTGAAGTGTGAAAGTGGGAATCCAAAGTGCTTTCAGTTGCTCCAACTTTGGTTATATGTATTAGAAACAAACTTCTGAGGTAGAGTTGCCAGATTAAATACAGGACCTCCAGTTAAATCTGAATTTCAGATGCCTATGAATAGTTTTCAGTATGAGTATGTCCCATGCAATACTTGGGACACGATTGTGCTGAAGTGATTTTCATTGTTTGAACTTCAGATTTAACTGGACATCCCGTATTTTTATTTGCTGTCTTGCAACTCGGTTCTGAGAGAGAGACCCGAGTTCTTCCCGTTCACGCTGTGTGTTGGGCAGGGCATTTGGGCCACCTGATGTTGGCCGGCTAAGTCCTCATCTTGAGAAACCAAATTTTTGATTCCCAGCTCTGTGCCAGTTCTGTGCCTTTTTCCAATGAAGATCTTAAAACCTTGCCTAGGAAGAGAAGGGTTGGGAAATGGTGGGACGAGGTCTTGAGTGTTCATTTCTCAGTCTTCTTCCGGAGTGGATTGCTTCTGTGCCATGGTCTTTGTTTCCCGTTGTAGGTGCTGACCCCATATGCGGTCTCGACTGCAATGACAAAATATCTAAATACCAATGTGATAACCAAGACTGCTGATGAGTTTGTCCAAGAGTCACTGAATTATGTCACAATCGGAGGTGAAACCTGTGGCTGCCTTGCCCATGAAATCTTGGTAATTGATAACTTCTTTTCTTGAAGCCAGGGAGGGAGGACACGCAGGTGGCCCTGGCAGGGCTGGGCTAGCTCTTCCTTGCTGCTGGAACACTCATCGATGCGTTGGGTATGCTCCCAGCAGTAAGATAGCCAGGGACAAGGACTATGTGGCAAGGTGGGGAGAAGACGGAGCCTGGGAGCTCAGCCTCTAGATAACCCCCAAGTTGGCAAGTCTCATTCTTGGCTGCCTCCCTCTTCCCTCAGAAAGTAAGGTGGCTCCCAGGAACTCTTGAGCAGGGAAGACCAAGATATATGGTGCTTCCACGTGGGAGCTGCTGTCTTCTCTGACCCTCTATTCCAGTCAATGTTTAGCTATCAGCCCTCCAGGGAAAAAAGCAAAACAAACACAAACCACTTTGCCGTGTAATGTTTGACTTCTATGGTATAAATACTCCCAGCATGGCTGAGCTTAAACCGCTGTCATGATGCCGTGTGCGTGAATTCAGGAGTGCGTGGTGCACAGTGGGCTCTCTCTTTTTTAATTTTAATTTTACTTTAAGTTCTGGGATATATGTGCAGAACGTGCAGGTTTGTTACATAGGTATACGTGTGCCATGGTGGTTTGCTGCACCTATCATCTAGGTTTTAAGTCCCACGTGCATTAGGTATTTGTCCTAATGCTCTCTCTCCCCTTGCCCCCACCCCCCGACAGGCCCCAGTGTGTGATGTTCCCCTCCCTGTGTCCATGTGTTCTCATTGTTCAACTCCCACTTATGAGTGAGAACACGCGGTGTTTGGTTTTCTGTTTCTGTGTTAGTTTGCTGCGAATGATCACAGCGGGCTCTTATGAGTGAGTACAAGTCAGCTCCAGCACACCACAGATCCAGCATATGGCACAAGAGGCTCTTACCACTCCTGGGCGGTTTTTTTTTTTTTTTTTTTTTTTTTTGAGACAGTATCACTCTGTTGCCAGGCTGGAGTGCAGTGCCGCGATCTCAGCTCACTGCAACCTCCACCTCCCGGGTTCAAGCGATTCTCCTGCCTCAGTCTCCCAAGTAGCTGGGACTACAGTCGCCCACCACCATGCCCAGCTAGCTTTTGTATTTTTAGTAGAGATGGGATTTCACCAAGTTGGACAGGATGGTCTCGATCTCCTGACCTCGTGATCTGCCCGCCTCGGCCTCCCAGAGTGCTGGGATTATAGGCGTGAGCCACTGCGCCTGACCTGGGCTGCTTTTAAAAACAAACACAAACATGAAACAAAGGTAGACTTGAGTATTGCTCACTAATACTGAAACAAACATAACATTGGCATAGCTCCGACTCCAGTCCCACTAAAGAAAGTTAGATGGGGTTTCCTCACTTACCCACCGTCTGCCAGCTTCCTCCTCTGTCTCATTGGCTTTCCTACTGTGGGAATTGGAACTCTCCTTCTCTCTGTCTTTCATGGGTGCTAGAAGGATTTATGGCTCCATGTGCTAAGTCTCCCAAAGCATTCCTTTATCTGCTGGGACTTAAAGAAGACTCTGGCAAGAGATATTGAATTTTCTTTTACTTTTTTTTTTTTTTTTGAGACAGAGTCTTGCTCTGTTGCCCAGGCTGGAGTGCAGTGGCTCGATCTCTGCTCACTGCAAGCTCCGCCTCCCGGGTTCACGCCATTCTCCTGCCTCAGCCTCCCGAGTAGCTGGGACTACAGGCGCCGCCACCACGCCCGGCTAATTTTTCGTATTTTTAGTCGAGACGGGATTTCACCCTGTTAGCCAGGATGGTCTCGATCTCCTGACCTCGTGATCCGCCCGCCCCGGACTCCCAAAGTGCTGGGATTACAGGCGTGAGCCACTGCGCCCGGCTAGATATTGAACTTTCTCACATGATTACTTATTATTTTTGTGTAGAACCTCAACAATGTGCAGAATCACCAGTGTGACTCACACGACAAAGCAGACGCACAGAGCGAATATAACAGAATCACCAGTGTGACTCACACGACAAAGCAGACACACAGAGCGAACATAAGGTCTTTACTTTGTCTATTGCTGATCTGGTCTTTTTCCAGATCACTACTTGCTGCAGGAAATTTCATCAAACGTCCAATGAGTCTAAACTGAGTTTGATCTCGTCATCCCAACTGGCCATTTAGGAAATGTACTCTCAGTCTGTTATTTAGGGAGAAGTGTTCAGTCTTCCCTGGAGCCTCCCTTCTTCCTGCCCCTCCCACCAGGTGGCGCTGGGAGAGGATGCCCTGTGGACCCTGACGGTCCTTCCGTGTGTGTGGGCTGGTGTCCTGGGTGGCTGTTCACCTTGCTGAAGTTTATGTCTGTGGAGGATGAGGGAGATGAACCTTTCTGTCCTTTTGACTTGGCCAGTGGATGCCCTGACAAGGCCTCCCCAGCTACTGAGGGCAGCGGACTGCGGCACCTTGCCACATTCCCCTCCAGCTGCAGGCACAAGGTCATCTGTAGCTTGGATCCATAGAGACCCCTGGCTCTTGTGTCTACATCAGCACCAACGTGGACCTGAGGGAAGCTGGGAAAACCAAATCTCAGCACCTATCTCCCCATGCTGAGATAATTTCCTGTGGTTGCACCCCAGAGGAGTGGGGGCAATGGCCCCTGCTTTGCCCTCAGTGCCACCCTTACTCATGAATCACTTCTCCATCCTTCATGCGCCAGGCCTTATCCTTCAGCCCCCAGCCTAGGCCTAGAGCTCACATCGAACAGAGGACACACTTCTGACCATGCCTTTCTCTTTCTCTCCTCCCACTTCCCACTCTCTCCAGGGAAGAAAAACTACGTGTTTTTTGTTTGTTTGTTTGTTTGTTTGTTTTAAATGGAGTCTCGCTGTTGCCCAGACTGGAGTGCAGTGGTACAATCTTGGCTCACTGCAGCCTCTGCCTCCCAGGTTCCAGCAATTCTCCTGCCTCAGCCTCCTGAGTAGCTAGGATTACAGGTGTGCACTGCCACACCTGGCTAAATTTTGGATTTTTAGTAGAGACAGGGTTTCACCATGTTGGCCAGGCTGGTCTCCAACTCCTGACCTCAGGTGATCTGCCTGCCTTGACCCCCCAAAGTGCTGGGATTACAGGCGTGAGCCACCGCGCCCGGCCAAAACTACATATTTCTTGTGCACTTTCTTGGTGTCACAGCTTAGCCCTCTCCAGTGGGGATGGCATCCCTTCCATCTTCAGGAGCACGCTGTGACCTTAGTCCTCCAGGATGCTGATGGCTTAAACAGAACTCATCAGCATCTGAAAAATATTTCCTTGTAGGAAAATAAATGTTTTATTTTTATAGAAATAGAATAAAATTTTATTTTATCTTGACGCAGGGTCAAAGTTGAATATTTTATTTAATTTTGACATAGCCAGGTTGCCCAGGCTGGAGTGCAGTGCAGGATCGCAACTCACTGCAGCCTCTTCGAACTCCTGGGCTCAAGGGATACTCCCACCTCAGCCTCTGCCGTAGCTGGGACTATAGGCACATGCCATTACATCCAGCTAATATTTAAATTGTTTTTATAGAGACTGGGGCTCACTTTGTTGCCCAGACTGGTCTTGAACTTCTGGGCTCTAGCGATCCTCCTGCTTTGGCCTCCCAGAGGGCTAGGATTACAGGTGTGAGCCAGCATGCCTGGCCGGAGTATTTTCTTGACCTTTCCTTCAAACAGTTGCCAAGAACAGACCAGGAAAAGGAGTTTTTGTGCCTGGTGAAGCAGGAGAGAAAATAAATGAAAATACATTAATCATTAAAGCCAATTTCGAGTTTGCCAGGATTTAGAAAGATTATTGTATCTAAACAGAGAAGCAATCATGTAGAATCAAATGGTAAATAAGTGACCCTTTTATTACCAAGAGGCCAGGCAAAGATAGCATGCCCTCCACCCGCAGGGAACATGGGGCTGGGACCGAGGCAGGAATGGAGCCCCTGCCTACAGAGACCCTGTCGTGCTTGGAGGCTTCATGCACACTGCCTCGCTTAGTTGTACTAATAATCTTGGGAGATAGGTCTTAGAGCCACCCTTTTACAATGGAGGAAGACAAAGCTCAGAGCCCCAACAGCTGGCCCATGACCACCCAGCTGGTAATGGTGAAGCTAGAATTTCAGTCCACTTTTATCTGCGGCCACAGCCTTTTCTGGCTCTTACATGGCCCTTCCAGGATGGGAGGGGGTGGACAAAGATGGAGATGGAAGAGGGACTCTTCTAGGACTTTTTCAAGGGGGCTGGAATTTTAATTTATGTTGCTTATTTTCTTTATGGCTGACCTCACTATGCCAAAACATTTTGTTCAGGACAGAGCTACTGAAAGGGCTTGATGTTGCTGTGAGATAAGAAAGCTCGGAGAGTAAAATGAAGTCCTTGAGGAAGAAGCTGTGTTGATTCAGCGACGTGGCTAGTGGGAGGAGAGGTCAGCTTTGGCTCCCAGAAGCTGTCATTAGTCCCTTGTCTTCGAATATCTCAGAGGAATGCAGAGATCTGAGGATCTGAGCTGGCTGACAAAACATGAATAACTCCCCCCAAAGCTCAAGCTTTCCTCTGGTTGGAATCCCATTGTTCTGTAGGGAGTAGGTGGATTGAGGCATGCTGGATTAATGAAGTCATGCTGTGAACAAAATGATTGCTTCCGGGATCCTGGACCCCTGAACTGTGCAAGACACAGTTGCAGTTTAGTGGCAAGGAATCTTTCAAGGCCTGTACCTTGAAAGAATCTTTTTACGGCCTGAAATGCATTGAGCTGAAGGCTTCCTCCTCTTTGAAAAGCAAGTGCTGCATGTCGATAACCCACACCTTTCTGTGACTGACTTCCATTCATCCAGGCTTCACGTATTTGCTTGGCGCCCACTATGCCTTGGAGTTGTGTCAAATGATGGAAAGCGTTTCTGATTCTTTCCTAGATCCTCACATTTATTTATTTATTTATTTATTTATTTATTTATTTATTTATTTATGACAGACTCTCGCTCTGTCACCCAGGCTGGAGTGCAATGGTACAATCCCAGCTCAATGCAACCTCTAACTCCTGGGTTCAAGTGATTCTCCTGCCTCAGCCTCCTAAGTAGCTGAGACTACAGGCATGCGTCACCATGTCTGGCTAATTTTTGTATTTTTAGTAGAGACGGGGTTTCACCATGTTGGCCAGGCTGGTCTCGAACTCCTGACCTCAAGGGATCCACCTGCCTTGGCCTCCCAAAGTGCTGAGATTACTTTGCGCCTGGCCCAGGATCTTCATTTTAACAGAAGCTTGGTAGAAAGGACTTGAAGACAAGGGGGGACGTACTTACTAAGAGAAAGAGTAAGTCAGGAGGTGGTTAACACAGAGTTCTCTTCATTTAGAATTTCCAGGCCAGGCACGGTGGCTCACACCTGTAATCTCAGCACTCTGGGAGGCCAAAGCAGGAGGATCACTTAAGCCCAGGAGTTTGAGCACAGCCTGGGCAACATAGTGAGACCCTGTGTCTGAGAAAAAAAAAAAAAGAAAAAATTAGCCAGGCGTGGTGACACACTCTTATGGTGCCAGCTACTCAAGAGGCTGAGGTGGGAGGATCCCTTGAGCCCAGGAGGCTGAGGCTGCAGTAAGTTGTGATCATGCCACTGCACTCCGGTCTGGGCGACAGAGCAAGACCTTGTCTCAAAGGAAAAAAAATTCCTTAGGGCTGATCCTACTAGGTCGTCCAAAGGAGTTTGAAAGGACTGGCTCCTTTGGTGTCTGAGAAAACCTTGTGTGCTGAGAAAGTGTCACGAGACCCTTAAACTTTATCGATGACATAAAAGGTTCTGGGGCTCCACTTTAGTAGTCAGAAAAAAATGTTTTTAAAGACCACAAAGATGAACTGAGGTACTTGTCATTCCTTCCTCCCCAACACTGACGCTTCTCTCTGTTTAAGGCGGGCTTTCTGAGCCTGATCCCGGCCTGGGCCTTCTACAGCGGCGCCTTCCAAAGGCTGCTCCTGACACACTATGTCGCGTACCTGAAGCTCAACACCAAGGTCAGGTAGCCGGGCGGTGAGGAGTCCCGCACAGCCTTCTCCTCACCAGTCCCATGGTGACTGAAGAGGACCAGAGGAGCAGACAGCACTTCAACCTAGTCCGCCGAAGATGGAGGGGCTGGGGTCACACAGGCATAGAATACACATTTTTTGCTACTTTACTTGAGTCTGAAGATCTTTGGGAAAGTTGCGGTGCCCATCTGTGCTGTCGTCCGGAAGTGCTCACCTGTTCTCAAACAGGGTTCCTGAAAGACCCAGGAAATTGGTGTGAACCAAAAAGTGTCTGAGACAGATCTCAATCATTTAGAAAGTTTACTTTGCAAAGGTTGAGGATGTGCACCTGGGAGGCAGGTTGGTGCCTTTCTCCAGTGATGAGTTTGAAGGCTTCAATATTTAAAGGGAGAATATTGGGGAAAGAAGAAGAACCTTTGGAAAGGTGTGGGGAGGTAAGAGACAAGCAGTTGCATTCTTTGGAGTCTTTGATCAGCCTTTCACCAAATATACAATTCACTTGTGGGAGGGGGTAGAGGATAAGTCACTTATGCTTTGTGTAGCTCAGTGACTCTACTTTCTTACATCAGAGGAAGCAATCAGATATGCACTTGTCTCAGGTGAGCAGAGGGATGACTTTGAGTTCTGTCCTTTGTCTCCATCCTGTGAAGATAAGTGATCAATTTACATTGTCAGGATAAAATTCAACAGATCCATTTTAGGGTAAAGATCTTGGGACACACAAGGAAATTTCCTAGCGGGCAAATTGCGAGGGAGGTCTGTAGCTTTTTCTCTTTGTAGTCATCTTATTTAGGACTAAAATGGGAGGCAGGTTTGCCTGACGCAGCTCCCAGCTTGACTTGTCCCATTGGCTTAAGGATTTTGGGGTCCCAAGATTTTTTACCTTTCACACTGAACAGAGGAAGACGTCAGGCAACAGTTACATCAGGCCAGTTTCTGGTCTCCTCCCAACCCATATCAATGAATGCAACACCAGCTTTATCTATTTATTTATGTTTGGGGTTCTATGTAAGACTGTTGGTAAAAACAAAAACATAGAATAAGATACTCAAAATGTTTAAAAACCCTTGCTCTAAGGCAGGAGTTGGTAACTAGAAATGAGGTTTCTGAGGGTCTCCAACTCTTGGGGTGCTGGGGACACATGGAGTGCTGTGTCCAGCCCTAGTCTAGAATTATCTGAAGGACGGTCCGGAGATTGAGGGAGTTGTTGGCTGGGACCCCATGTGGGGCTGTCACATGAAGCCCCTATGCAGGGCCTCTCTGAGTGGCTGCTTGGTCTTCCTCACAGCTTGGTGGCTGCCTTCCAAGAATAAGCGTCCCAAAGAAGATTGGGAGGAAGCTGCACTGTCCTGTATGACTTAACCCTGGAAGTCACGTGGCATTGTGCCCAAGCCCTCCCAGATTCAATGGGAGAAGATGCAAAACCTGCCATGGGAAGAGTGTCAGATGGAATGGTGGATATTGTCATGCCCATCTTTAGAAAATATGTTCTCCATTCATTAATCTTAGTATTTGAGTGTTTGTCCCAGCATCTACCTATTATGATGAATTACTTGGCCTTTCCACTGGCACTAGAGCAACTTATAAAAGTGTAGACATTGTGTTTCTAGAACCTTCCAATCAAACCCTGGTGAATTGGCCTTTCAGAAACAACTTCTACAACCAGCAACTTAGGTGAGAACAGAGACACACGTCAGCTTAAATGACCTGGGGCAGATATTTAGAGATAAGTTTTAGCTGTGTGATACGGGGGTTTCTAGTGTATTAATTCTAGCTTGATTTGCACGGTTGTCCAACAAGCTTCTTGAGTGTCCTAAAGTAAGAGAGAATTTCCTAACAGTAAAGGCCCCAAGACGTTGAACTGATTTCTTATGAAATGAGGGCAGAAAAATTCCATATTTTAAGATCTTTATCCTTATCATCATTAGTAGCAGATAATAGCTACCATTCGTTGAACACTAATTGTAGTCAGGGACTATGTGAAGCCTCATAACGACTGAGGTAGATACTATTAGTATTGCCTTCATTTTACAGATGAGGAAACTGAGGCACAGAAAACTTACCCATGTGTGTGGGTTCACTTGACCAGTGAGTGGCAGAGCTGGAGTTTCTCGCACACCTTGGCTAAAGCAGAACAGTAGAGCCCTACGTCTGGGCTAAGTTTATTTAATCGAAATTAATGGCAAGGGGTGAACGCCCGTGCCCTCAACTTTGTATATTTCACTCTCACTTGTTGTGGAGGCAACAGGAGGGGAGCCAGACTTCTGCAGCCAGGCCCATATGTCTGGATTTCAACACTGACCACTTTGCAAATTTACTGTCCTCTGGGAATCATTCAGGAACAGGGAGGCCTGCCAAGTTTCACTGACCTTTTGTTTCTGCAGAAGAGTACTGGGCTCTCGTTTCTCGCCTGATTCTCTTATCTTTGGAGGGCTTGGGACCCCAGGGGCCAGCAGCAGAAACTGGCCGTTTGGATAGACGTGTTCCCTCCGCGTTCTTGCAGCCTTCCATCTGCGTTACCTCCCAGGAAGCCGAAGGCCGCAGAGGCCCTTTCGGATGGCACCGGGAGCAGGAAAACGAGGTGATTACGGGCTGCTGCTCCAGCAGCATTGGCAGCTGGTGCTCGGGCGGCTCCCTGGGGTGTCATCCCTTTCTTGCTCTTGTGGATGGGAACCAGAGCACCCCACTTCAAAGACGCTGTAAGCCAGGGCTTACCAGAGAGAGCCTAAGACTCCAGGGCCAATTTTAATCAGTTTCTTGTGCTTCTCCTGCCAAAAGGGATGATTGTCCTCGCTGTGGCTCATCCACTGTGCAGGGGGCTCTGCGGGCCTGACTCGCTACCGCCCTCTGATGTCCTGGGAGAGAAGCTGTTGGGTCTCTCCTGCCTGATGTGGTAGAAATGTTAGAACAGAGGCTAATCAGGGCAAAGAAATCTCTCCATTTTTTGAGCTGCTTTGTGTGTGTGTGTGGACACGTGTGTGTGTAAGGGACAGGGTCGTTAAGAAAGAAGGAAAAGGAGGCGAGAGGAGGAAAGGACCAGTTTCAGTTTCACAGGCTCTGGCAAGGTGACTGAGAGAGTGCGAAGCCCCTTAGCCTCTTTGGGCTCTGGTTCCCTCATCAGGAAAATTAGAAGGTTTTATACCTGATTTATCCTTTTTTAAATTCAGCTCTTATAGTCTATAAATCCCCAGTAAGTTGTGGAAATAAACTGTCTTTTAAAAATCTTTAAAAAACAATTTTCCTAATTAGATATACAGGGTAGAAAATATAAAAAATACAGAGAAAAGATCAGAAAATAAAAATCCCAGCGTTATCCCACCATCCAGAATGAACCACTCTTCACTGATTGTGAATCTCCTTTTATAATTTTCATGTGTGTGTTTTGTGTGTGTGTGCTTGTGAGTCTAACAGTAGATTTTATATTCTGCCTTTCCTCTTAAGATTAAAGCATATTTCCTCGTGATAGTAGCTATTCCAAAGACGATTTATAAAGTTTGCTTAATATTTGTTCATAGTACTGAACATAATTTATCTTACCATCCCTTTTTTATGTACATTTAGGTGTTTTCTGATTTTAAAATCTTATAGGCTGGGCACAGTGGCTCACACCTGTAATCCCATCACTTTAGGAGGCCAAGGCAGGATAATTGCTTGAGCCCAGGAATTTGAGACCAGCCTAAGACATAGTGAGACCCCTTCTCTACAAAAAATAAAAAAATTAGCCAGGTGTGGTGGTGCACACCTGTGGTCCCAGCCATCTGGGAGGCTCAGGAGAGGATCTCTTGAGTCCGGGAGATGGAGGCTGCATGAGCTGAGATCATGTCACTGCAGTCTGGGCAACAGAGTGAGACCCTGTCTCAAAAAACAAACAAACAAACAAACAAACAAACACCCCCACCAAACCTTATAACAACATCCGTCCTTGTATGTGCATTTTCTTGTTGTGATGTTTCAACTTCTTTTTATACTTTAATTCACAGACTATATGAGTTACCTATTTAAAGTATACAATTCAGTTGTTTTTAGTATAGTCATGGAGTTGTAGAACCATAACCATCATCAACTTTAGAAGAATTTTAGAATATTTTCATCACCCACATGGAAACCTAATACCCATCAGTGGTCACTCCCCATTCCATACCTGAACCCCCAGCCTTAGGTAACCGTTGATGTATTTTCTCTCTCCATTGACTTGCTTATTCTGGACTTTTTTATTGATTGATTGATTGATTGAGATGGAGTCTCACTCTGTCACCCAGGCTGGAGTGCAATGGTGCAATCTCAGCTCACTGCAACCTCCACCTCCTGGGTTCGGGTGATTCTCCTGCCTCAGCCTCCCAAGTAGCTGGGATTACAGGAGTGCGTCACCACGCCTGGCCAATTTTTTTGTATTTTTAGCAGGGACAGGGTTTCACCATGTTGGCCAGGCTGTTCTTGAGCCCTTGACCTCAGGTGATCTGCCTGGCCCAGCCTCTCCAAGTGCTGGGATTACAGGTGTGAGCTACCAGGCCTGGCTGTATTCTGGACTTTTAATGCAATGAATATAACATGTGGATTTCTGTTTTTGGGTTTTTCCACTTAACACCATGTTTTCAAGGTTCATCTATGTCGTAGCATGTATTAGTACTTCAGTCCTTTTTTATTGCTGAAAAATATTCTATTGTATGAAGAGACCACATTTTATTTCTTAGTTCATCAGCTGATGGACATTTAGATGGTTTCCACTTTTTGGTTATTGTAAAGAATGCTGCTGTGAACATTTGTGTACAAGTTTTTGTGCAGGTATATGTTTTCATTTCTCTTGCTTATTTACCTGGGAGTAGAATTGCTGGGTCATGTGGTGACTCTGTGTTTAACCTTTTGAGGAAATGCCTCACTGTTCCAAAGTGACTGAACCGTTTTACATTACCACCAGCAGAGGGTGAGGGTTCCAATTTCTCTATATCCTCACCAGTATTTGTTATTTTTTGGTCTTTTTGGTGATAACTATACTAGTGGGTATAGGAAGTGGTGTCTCGTTATGGTTTTCATTTTCATTTCCCTGACAGCTAACAATTTGAGCTGAGCATCTTTCATGGGCTTATTGGCCATTTGTATATATTCTTTGGGGAAATGTACACTGAGATGCTTCATTCAATTTTTTTTTTTT